AAAAATTTCTAGTAAGTAAAGTAGGTTACTGGTTGACTAGGGTCATGAATGAGGAAGAAACTTCCAAGGGGCTCAAGGAGTCTTCAGTGACGTGGAAATTTTCTCTCTTGACTGTGGAGGTGGCTTTACGGGTATGATTCTCTCACGTTCATCACGGAATTGTCCATTTAAATGGATACAGTAACTTGTGTGTAAATGATACCTCAATAAAGTTGATTTTATAAAGTAATGAGAACCAATGGAAAAAGAATCAATATAATTTAACATTTTAAAAATTAGTACATCTAATTTTTTGTGTAAACAGAGCTTCTGAACTGCTTACTGTTGTGCATACATAGTTTTTGTCCTTAGGTAATTCAAACATTCATTGCCTCTAAACTGGATTTTGTGATGAATTTGCCTGACAAATCTCATACAAGGTTAATCCCACCCTAGTTCCTCTCTGAATTACTAAAAATTCTTAATGAGTGTGGTCCATACTAATGAGATAGGCTTTTTCGTTTTTTGTTTTGTTTTGTTTTGAGATGGAATCTTGCCCTGTCACCCAGGTTGGAGTGCAATGGCATGATCTCAGCTCACTGCAACCTCTGCCTCCTGGGCTCAAAAAGATTCTCTTGCCTCAGCCTCCTGAGTAGCTGCTACTACAAGCACCTGCCACCACACCCGGCTAATTTTTATATTCTTAGTAGAGACAGGGTTTCACCGTGTTGGCTAGGCTGATCTTGAACTCCTGATTTAAAATGATCCACCTGCCTAAGCTTCCCAAAGTGCTGGGATTACAGGCGTGAGCCACTGTGCCGGGCCAATGAGGTTTTTTTTTTTTTTTTGTAACACAAAAGAGGGATGAATTCCTTGACAGAAAAACTCACAGAGGGGCAGGGATAGCAGTGCCCTCATATGACTTCCAGGCTTTGTTCTAAGGTTGGTTTTGTTCCAGACATTTTTATGTTTTTATGCCAAGCCATTTTTGCAGTAACTTTTGTTGGTAGTATACAATCCCAAGTCGCCTAGAAAGGCAAATTCTAAATCTACTTGAACTTCACCTCATAAAATTAAAGACCACCTGTAGGGCCAAAGGGGTGAAACGATACAGATATCCATAGAGAAACCACGTGTACCCAAGACTTACTATTGTGAGATTACTTCCCACACTTTTCTCCTTCATTACTCACTGTAATCCTCTAATGTGAATATTATTATTATCCCCATTTTTTCCCACTATGGAAACTGCTACTCAGAGAAACCCAGTTATTTGCCCCAATTCACCCAGCTAGTAAGGGGCAGAGCTGCGAGTTACACATTTGGGGTGCTTTGACTGATGTTTGGTTATAGTTCCATAAACACAAAACTTAAACAAGTAGATCCACGTAGCTTTGGATTTGAGTATTCATTTTTGCATTACCGTAAGAAAAAGCACACATTGAAATACATGGCTAACATTGTGCGGGGCTTTTGCCCGCCACTGAAATCTCATCATCTTCCAATTAGGCAACAGTATTTGACAAGAAAGGGATGCGCTGGCATCTTTACAGAGCAGGCTTCACATAAACAAAGTCACACGGACGTCTAGGGAGTGTTTCCAAATCTGGGGAGAACTAGTGCTCTCCAAGAAACACCAGAAATATGGCAAATTATAATGCAAACAGAAGAAGAAGGATCTAGAAAAGATTACACTTAGGTACTCGAGAGTTAACGTGGAATCAAGCAGTCAAAAACCTTTGGCTTATATCATGGCTGGCTGTAACATACAAATCTCTAAAACTGCCAGTCATGACCTAGAACTGCCATTTGACAGACAGAAATACACATATGCTTCTGGCACGGATAGCTTTAAAATACTTATACAAAAATATCATAACCTACAAATAATATTTTGAAGATAATGAAAGGATAACGAAATGCATTGATGAACATTGATTTGCATCCTAACAAGACCCCAAGTTAATGTGTTGTTTAAACATTCATAAGGAAAAGAAGAATCTATGGAAAATAAATTGTTAGCCTAATCATCCATTCTACATATGCTTGACAATCCAAAGTCTGAAAATCATTAATAGATCATGAAATTGTCTATATTCTGATCTTCCACAAAACTCTCCTCTGTCATTAAACTTAATCATTTAATATTCCAGCATTTATTTATTCAGCAATGGTTAAAGTATAATATTCCGACACAGTTTCTATCAGTTAATTCTACTAAATGCAGCCCTGGGATATTCCTGGGAATCATACCAGTTAGAGTTAAGCATTTATGCAGGCAGGGAGGCCAATTTCAGCTTAAATTTGTAAAAACGCATGCAAGTAAAGTCTCTATTTGAATATCTGGCTTTCTGATTTCTTCCCTCCTTGGTAATCTCCAGTGTTAATGGAATGCAAAAATAACCTAATGAGGGGATAATGCCATGGTCTGACGCCAATTATTATTCTCTTATGTCTGGCATTAATTCCCATTTCAATCACATGCGCTCTTCTCTGTCAAAGGAAGAGTACAAGGGAGGGGATGGGAACAGGCAGTTACCATCTGCTTCCCTCCCCCGGCATCCCTGGAAAGGAAGACAAGGGTGGGAGTTTCTCCTAGAGATGGGAGCAAAGTGTACCTCACAGTGGGCCCACTGAAGTGTCTTCAGGCAGCCACATTTGGCCCTGGCATATCAGAAAGCAGTACAGACTCCCCATAGCAGGAACATCAGATTCACTGTCAAGCTCTAGGTTTTCAGTCTAGCCCAGCAGCTGCAGACTGGTTCAAGTGAGTCCTGGAGCCTCCTGCATGCAGCCCACTGTCTTCGGCTGGATACAGGCTTCTCTAGTATCCCACAGGCCTCCCAGCTCCCTCCTGCCTTATCTGGCCCACTAAAATAGTTTCTTTTCCCACCTGGCCTCTTTAAATCTTGGAGTTTGCAAGTTGGTTCAAAACTCATCAATCAAACGAGGTACTTACAGCTGCATGACCAGGTACAAGTGATTTGGGCTTTCATAAATGTCTTCCAGGGCGACAATGTTTTCATGCTTAATTCTGAAAAAGAAATAGACACACAAAACAGTAAGTTTAACCAGAAAGGAAAACTTTTTAAAACAGACAGCATTGTAGCAACAAGTTACAAAACAGAATCCAAAACTCCTGAACAAAAACATTTCACACTTCACAGTCTTGTCCCCAGACTTGTTCCAGACCCATTTGCTAATAGTCCTTCCTGGATCTCCACTCCTCTTCGTTCCTAAGCCCCAATACCCTACAGTTTAGCAACAGTGGATTAACTATTGATGCTTCCTGTGAATCCCAGAAATGGGCCCAATCTGCCCACATCCTATTATCTGACAGGGCCCAACTCAGACGCGGGGCCGCTGGGCAGAACTGTTCCCTCTTCTGTTGTCTCCCAGTGGCCATCACGGATTCGCCTGACCACTTAATTCTACGAAAATCTGTCCCCGATGATAGGCCTATGTTCCAGGGAGAAGGGAGACGTGGTGGGACACTGGAGAATATATATGTTCCAGGGAATGTTTCTCTGACATGTTCACAAGGTCAGGATACTGGGACCATCCTGGCTAACAGGATGAAACCCCATCTCTACCAAAAATACCAAAAAAGGCCAGGCACAGTGACTCACGCCTATAATCCCAGCACTTTGGGAGGCCAGGGTGAGCAAATCACAAGGTCAAGAGATCGAGTCCATCCTGGCCAACATGGTGAAACCCCGTCTCTACTAAAAATACAAAAATTAGCTGGGCGTGGTGGTGCACACCTGTAGTCCCAGCTACTCGGGAGGCTGAAGCAGGAGAATTGCTTAAACCCAGGAGGCGGAGATTGCAGTGAGCTGAGATTGTGCCACTGCACTCCAGAAAGGTGCATGGCGACAGAGAAAGACTCTGTCTCAAAAAAAATACACACACACACATATATATATATATATATAGTTTTAGCTGGGCGTGCCTGTAGTCCCAGCTACATGGGAGGCTGAGGCAGGAGAATCGCCTGAACCCGGGAGGCAGAGGTTGCAGTGAGCCAAGATTGTACCACTACACTCCAGCCTGGCAACAGAGCAAGACTCTGTCTCAAAAAAAATACACACACACACATATATATATATATATAGTTTTAGCTGGGCGTGCCTGTAGTCCCAGCTACATGGGAGGCTGAGGCAGGAGAATCGCCTGAACCCGGGAGGCAGAGGTTGCAGTGAGCCGAGATTGTGCCACTGCACTCCAGCCTGGGTGACACAGCGAGACTCCGTCTCAAAACAAAAAAACAAAAAAACCAACCTGACTCCCTCATTGGGGTTCATATCCCCCACCCCACCCCACTACCAAATGTCACTTCAGCTTCCCAAGCAAAATCAGTGCTACTCAAAGTGTGGTTCTCACAGGGGCAGCACCAGCATCTCCAAAGAGCTTAGTAGAAATTCAAATTCTCAGGCCCCATGACAAGCACAGAGTATATAAGTCGAGGGCAGAGCCCAGGAATCAGTATTTTAATAAGATGCTCAGATGATCTACACGTGCTAACTAGAGCTTGAGAAATACTGTATTGGACCAGTGCTGCTCAAACTTCAAGGAGCAAATGAATCGTCTGGGAATCTGGCTGCACGGCAGGCCTTGAATCAGCGGGTTTGGCTGGGGCCTGGGAGGCTGCATTTCCAACCAGGTCCCGGAGATACTGGTGCTGCTGATCTGCAGACACCACTGTGAATAACCAAGTTCTAACTAAAGAACCAGGGCAGAAGGAAACAGCTGAGTCCTAGCCCTTGGCACTATCCATTAAGAGCAGTTTCTGCTCAGAATGTAAGGCTTGATATTATTTAAAGCATTTGAGAGAAAAAAATTATTTCATTACTCAAGGAGATAATTAGCTCTTACCATAAGCCTCTCATCGAAATGACTGCTGAACCATTTAAAGACAAGCACATAACATGCAGATTCTTGTGAACCTCCTGAAAGCAAGAACTACATTATTCACACATTTGCTCCTGGTGCCTCGCACAGATCCGCTTAACAACGCTTGCTGAATGAATGAATGATATTGAAAGGCTGCTGCCAGTAAGCAGCCAGAAGCCTTATTTAGTGAGGAAAACGGAAACCATTTTCCTAAGTGTGTGATGTCTTCCCTACAAAGAGAGGTTTATAAGGTGGAAAACAAACAAGAATATTATCGTCTTTTTGAGATGAAAGAGAACAAGATCATTAGCAAAGACTGGTAAGGCCTTCCTTTGAATTCTACAGCTTGCAGTAGTTAATGCAGTTGTTTTGCAGGAGCTAAAACAATAGGTTATACTAAATTCACATTCCACCCGATTCCAAAGAATAGAATCTAATTATTTGTCAGCCATGGTTTCTGCACAGCCTGAGCAAGACCTGAACCAAATAAACGATGCCAGCAAGGAAACCAAAGAGCTTAACTTGAGATTACCAAGATCCTACAAATCACGGCATTATCGTGATTAGATATACCTGAAAGAAGAAGCCCACAAAAAGTAGACATCATATAGATTTTCCCTTTTTGGAAAAATTGTTTTAATTTACCATTGGAATCAACCACATGGTCATGAACGTTTTCTTTCAGTCAAGTTCATTTGAGAGTTAATTAAGAGCTTAGAGTTCTGGGGAAATAGGAGGAATGGGATAATATGAAGAGTGGCCAGAGAAAATGCAGGGCACACAGCTACATCTGAACGGCAGCAAAATGCTGAATGCTTTTTCAGTTTAAGTACATCCCAAGTATTGCATGGTTGTTTCGCGGACATTCAGATGTAACCGTGCACACTGTATTTTCATGTACTAAATCCAATCACTCTGCTTACATAAATCACTCAATCTCTAAACTGGGTTTAGAGATTGGCACCAGCAGCCCTAGCTTGCCTTCGAGGTTGAGTCAAGAAGGCTGTCTGAGCCCCAGAGTTCAGTCATTAATTCAGATTCCACGATATGCAAAGAATCAACTCTGTACAAAGCACTTGCCTAGCCAATGTAGTGGACCCCAATAAATTAGACCTACAGTCCCCTCCTTTGATACATGGGATAGAGACATTAAAGCCTATTTAACCTGCCATGTCTTACATGAGCGCTAGCTTGAAATTGAGTTTAATCTATTGCAGCATTCCAGAGAAGTGTTGCACACAGCAGGAACAATCCCAAATGTCAGTCTCACAGCGGCTGGAAAGACACCTTAACTATTAATATCTCTCCATCAGCCAATCAGGCGAGCAAGCAATTGTCATTTCCTGAGTTTCTGCTAAGTTTCTGGAAGAAGGTAAGAAAAATAAAAAACAAAGTTTTGCCATCAGGAAGTTTATCACCTAAGCAGATAAACTCAGGAAGAAATTAGAAAAGAATCAAATGCTAAATCCTGTAGAATTGCCTTTAAGCTGTGAGAAACCAGAGCCCCGAATGGGTCAGAGTTATGGCGAAGGCCTCAAGAAGATGATGGGAGCTGGGCTGGAGTGAGTAATGTTTGAATAAGCACACTTGAGAAATTTCAAATAAATCCTAAAATGGCCTCTTCATATCTCTTAAGAAAAGTGGTTTAATTAACTTGGAGCTGTTCAACACAGTAAAAAAAAATTATTCTGGCCTCCCACATCTGTTCTCAGGTACTTTATTCCACCCTCACATTCCTTACAATATGCAAAAGCGGAACGTAAAGTTTTAACATTATTTTAGTGCGTGAGTTATTTTCAAAAAATGCCATATGACCACCCATGCATTTAGGACTACGGCACAAACACTAACTGAGGACTTATTCCATGCAAAGGCTCACTTCATGCTAAATTTGCCACTGGAATCAATCACATGGTCACAAACATTTTCTTTTAGTCAAGTTCATCTGAGTTAATTAAGAGCCTAGATTTCCGGGGAAATAGGAGGAATGGGATTATATGAAGAGTGGCCGAAGAAAATGCAGGGCACACAGTTACATCTGAATAGTATGAATGCTTTTTTTCAGTTTAAGTACATACGGTGAATGCTTTTTTCAGTTTAAGTACATCCCAAGTATTGCTAAATTTCAGAGTTTCATTATTCATTCAACAAACATCTGTTGGATGCCTGCCAGGTACCAGGCACAGTCCCAGGTACTCTGAATTTAGCAGAAGAACAAGACACCAGAAAGGCAGTCTCAGCCCTCCTGGTGCTCATGCAGGTGAGAGCTAGAACGCTTCTCAGGTTGTCTGTCTTCATTAACCAGAAATCAGCCCCCTGGTAACTAGTAATGAGTCCCCGGACCAACAGAGAACTAGCTTACACCTTCTTCCCATGTATTCTGCACAGATTTGAGGGATATAATGCCTCTGCTTAGTCTTCTCATTGCTGACCAATCTTCCTACAATATGGTTCACATTCTTCTCACTGCTCTATCATCACTCATTCGTCCAGACTCTAGCATTCAGATCTGGAAACACTGATCCCGGGGTAAAATACGGTATCATGAATACGGTATTAAATAGTAAAGGAGAACTACTAACCATATGTTAGACTTCTACATAACTTCTACATAATAAAACCTAACAAATCCACTGCTGTAGTTTTTAGCCACTGCCTAACCACTGGCATATAAAGAATATAAACCCCACACAGGTAGAGATTTTTGACTGTTTCACTACTGTCACCCCAGTGCCAAAAGAAGAGCATGGCACATAGTTAATTGGTGAGTATCAAGTTTTGGGCCAATTAAACCACCAGATCATTTTAATTTGAACGTCTCCCAAACACAATCTCATTTCTTACTCGGGCTGATATTGTGAGAGCTTAATGCCTTCACCTTTAGCTTCATTAAATCCAGTCATTACAGATTCCATGCAACGTTTCGATGATCAGCAGTGTGGTGAATCTTGATTTCCTCATCTATTGTTCTTATTATCCCTCCCAACTTTGGGCCATCTGTGTACTTGGTACATATCCATCCTATGTGTCTTCATTCAAATTCCTAATTAAAATTTTAAATGCAAGGTTACATGTCAGAGCTCCACGGTATTCCAACAGAGACCCCCATCAAGATAACCATGCCATTAATCAGCTGGCTTC